ATTCTTATCATTCATCCTGAATCAGGACTTCCCCCATCTGTTCGTATATATTAAGACAGAAAAAAGACCTATTTTCATTTTTTGCTTTAAATGTACTCCTGTTTCTCTGTAGTCTCTCAATATGTAATCAATCCCCAGTTAGCACTCATATCAGACATAAAGCTCCTGGGCAAAGCTTTGAGCCCAAACAATCAATTCTACTTCATACTCTAGAACAGTGGTTCTCAACCTTCTTAATGCCGTGATCCTTTAATACAGTTCTTCATGTGGTGGTGAGCCCCCAACCATAAAATTATTTTTGTTGCCACTTCGTCACTGTAATTTTGCTACTGTTATGAATCGGGTGACCCCTGTGAAAGGGTCATTCAGTCCCTAAAGGGGTCGTGACCCACAGGTTGAGAACCGCTGCTGTAGAATTATTTTTTCTGTTTTAATTTTAATACTTGTCTCCTGCCCTTCTCTTCTTTTATTTTAATATCTAAATTTTTATATCATAGCCCTTTTTATCTTTATTTTTATCGCTCTTTCTTTTACATTTATTTATCCTTTTCTTTCCTTCTCATCATAACACTAAAAGCTGACACTACTCTAACAAGTAAAAAAAAATTTTTTCTCTTAAATATTTTTGCCTATTCCTCCATCATAGCAAAACAAAGCATTTTGGGGATCTAAATTTCTTTCTCTTAACCTACCAATTAATACTACTTGACCCCTTCCATCTTGCTTCCTTTTCCCTTTCATTCTCCACCCCCTAAAACTTCCTGCTTCAATTTTTGATCGTTCTCTTAGTACTTAATCTAAACTACCCCCAAGATACTTAATATAAAGTGTCTACCACCCCTCTACCACGTCACCTAATAGAGTTAACTACTCCCACTTAACCCTAACACCCTAACACCCCTAATAGCTTACCAAGATGTCAAGAAAACAACAGAAGATATATACATATATATCTTTGATATATCAATTGCATCACACATTTGTATATATGTTGCCATCATCATTTTAAAAACATTTTCTTTCTGCTTGAGCCCTTGGTATCAGCTCCTCTTTTTTTCCCTCCCTCCCTGTGGTAGTTACATAATCTGCTGTCAATTTGAGACTGAAGAGTGAAGAGGTAGAGTTTAGCCTGTCAATCAGGCCACAGGTTGATGACCTCACAGGAGATAACTAGCTCACTGGAGGTGGGACACATGCTCATTCCCTGCAAGGCATTCCTGTTGGGAAGACACATGGAGCTACACTACAGTCCTGGAACTGAAGGAACCATGTGGAGACTCCTGCCAGTGCTGAGGTTTCTATCACTACTGGATCCACAAGACTTCTCACCCACTGACCCAATATAGAGGTGGGAAAAGACATGAACAGACAATTCACCAAAAATGAAATACATATGGAAATGAATACAGATACAAATGAAACACGTGGAAAAATGGTTCTGACCTCAGGCCATCAGGGAGATGCAAATTAAAATCACGATGAGATACCACCTCACAACCACAATGCTAGCCCAAATCAGCAAACAACAAAGGCTGGAGAGGCTTTGGAGAGAATGGAACTTGTATGTACTGTTAGTGGACTTGTAAGTACAGGCCACCATGTGGAAAACTATATGGTAATATTTAAAGCAACTGGAAATTGAAATCCCACATTATCCAACAATACCACTATTATGCATATCACCCAAAGGAATCAGAGACACAACAAGAGTGCATGTATTCTCTGCCGTGTTTATAGCAGCACAGTTAACAATAACAAGAAACTGGAAACAGCTCAAGTGCCCAACAGTGGAAGAATGGATAAAGAAACTATGGTACATACACACAATGGAAAACAACGCATCCCTGAAAAATAGTACTGAACGCATGAAACACCGCAGACATAGAAGGACCTGGAAACCATTATGCTGATTGAAGTTAGTCAATAGCAAAAGGACAAATATGGTATGAGTTCTCTACTATATGGAGAAACACCAATTTAACAAATGTTAGAGATTCAATTCCCAAATAAAGTAGTAAATGTCTGCCTGCAGCTGTGAGCTATACATCACCCTCCTGTGTGTACTTCATAAGATCCCCCTCAAAGAGGAAGCCTCACATTGGCTGGGGTCAGTCCTTCAAGAAGGGGAAATAGGAGAAGACCATCCACGTGATGTTATGCAACTTTGAGAGAAGGCTGTGACAAACAGCCCTTCCACAGGATTCAGAATCTTACTGGAAAGTCAAGTTGAGACCAATGTTAGGGTAGCATCAACATTTCAGAGGAGGCACTGATATTTCTGTTGGTGATTGTGGTGGTTAAATGGGTAGAAGCAACCTCAAATTGGTAAGGGATGCTAAACAATAATTGTAGGAAACCTATGAGGAGAATAAACCTGGTTCTATGTTCCTTGAGAGATCCTTTGAATATGTTTCATCCCAGCCCTTGCTAAATCACTCCATGGATTAAGCACTATGATGACCTTAGACTCTGGCCCTAGAGGTGGCATGGCATCCCCCAAGGGCCACACCAGAAGAACCCAGCGTGGAAGCCCAACTGAATAAACTTGGCCCTACCTCAAAACTACCTGTACCCTTGGGTTTAGGACTGAAATACTCTGATGGGTGAGGAATCAAAGGATGGCCACCCCAAGACTGTAGAAATGATGGTTGTTGGACCTTGGGTGTGACCCCTGGCTTGGTGGGTGTCCATTGAAAGGGGAGCCAGAATCACCATATATTTAGTATCTCAATGCTCCCATGCATTAACATGACAGGCATTACTCTGATAGGCAAGATTCTGCTCTTGTAAGAAATGGTACAGGAATTTTTTCCCCTAGCACCAACCCCCACACTCAGTGTAAACAGGGCTCAATGAATTAAGAAATCAAGCTGTTCAAAGAAACAATTCATGTATTGCAGCTTACAGTTAGACTGCATAAACGCCTCATATCAACAGTAACTTAAATTCTATGCCATTGGATAAATTATTGATGTTATGAAAGCAATCGCCTTATGCCCAAGGGGGATAATAGACAATGTTGTTCTTTTTTTGGGGGGGGGGGCGGATTTTTTGTTTGCTTGTTTGTTTGTTGTCATTCTTGGTTTGGAGTTTTTGTCATAAAATGACTGCCAAAGTAAACCAGAATCATTCATTACCTGTAGACAAAAAGATGGATTCTTGGCTCCCATGTAATTCTAGCCCCAATCCAACAACAGTTCTTATAAAATGGCCCTTCTTGATACTCACCTTCATGAAGAGGTCACTGAAGATAAGGGTGCTACAGCAAAGTGTGTAGTGCTCAGCTATCAATTTAAAGAAAGCAGATGTGAAGTGTGCACTCCCAAAACTCTACTATGGGATTGAATTTACTCAAGAGCCATTTAGGGCATGTGTGTGGTACACAGATCTCTGTGAACTTTCTGCACACTGTATGTCACACGCATGCAGAATACACACATCTGCTGGGGATTACGACACATGTAAATATTGCACTTTCAAGGTTTAAGTGGTAACTATGAGCTCCTTTCTATCAATGAGGTGTGAGGTTTTCTACTTTGCACTCACAAAGGTATTCTCACTCCTGTTAAAGAGTTGGACTGGCTCGGTTGACATCCACATAGAAGTTGGAGGCACTGTCATTTCAAAATGGTGGGTTCCCACCTCCTCTCCACATCCCCACCGTAATGTTTCATCTGCACCGAAGAGAAAAACTGGGCTTCTTGCTGGCGGGGAAGGCAGCGGTGTAAGCAGGTCATTGTTGGTCCTTGCTAGACTCTTCCAGGATGGAATAGGACCCCTCTGAGAACCTAGACCAGGCCTCACCTGGAATTTTCCTCCGTTAGCCCTTCCCCAGAAGCTCCCTGTCAATTTTTCACACTCAAAAGCACTTTTTTTTAGAAGCTGCTGCTTTTATATGAGAAAATAAATCATGGGGTGACCTCACTCCTCTTGTGATGCTATAAAAAAGGGCTTTAGAAGTTGAATATACACCTGTGCATGCCCCTATAAACATGCACCACAACCTCAATCTGGTAATTAGTTTGGGCAAAGAGAAAAGGATGTCCTATGGATTTCTCTCTCTCTTTTTTACTTCACTTCTCTGGTTTAACCCAAGCTCTGAAGAAAGCCCGCCGAAGTGTCCCAGGGTTTCAGTGGACTTTCTGTCTTCAGCTTTTTACAAATCGGGGGAAGATCTAACCAGAATATAAAATAAGGGGAAAATGAAGGATTTGATTTTTGCTCTGGGGTCTTAAAGTCTTATATTCAAACAAGCAGCTATCAAACTGAGGCATCAACTAAGTCTACATTGAAGAAGCACACCCTCCTGGGTGATCCAAAGATGATGGTAACAATGGAAGGGAGAAGGATCAGAGTTTAAATTGTGAACACTCAATTTGTAGAAGGCTATGGAGGACAGTGGGAGCCCAAAATCTGTCTGCAGAGCATCGAGTCAGATTAAGCATCTGACAGATTCCCTCCAGCTACAGGACTTGAACAGCTTTATTAGCAGAAATGAGAAGATTGCAAACTTGATCGCACTGTGGTACAATAGGGTACTTGGTTGGTTGACCTCCCACTTGACCCAACCTGAACCTGGTCTAGGCTCAAGGATTTCTCCCTTGTTCCACGACAGAAACTTCTTCATTGGCTCTTTTAATATTGTTGGTGGTGTTTTCTTTCTTACTCTTTATTTGTATTTGTATATTATTATTATTTTCTTCTTGCCATTTTTTATTTTTTATTGCTTCCCTTAGGTTTCCCAGTTTAGGAGGCACAGGGGTGAATGCACAGAGACAATAACTGATGCAATGCTTTGTGGGGGAGGGGAGAGGAGGAGGGTCAAGGGAGTGCAGGAGCAAATAAAGAATGCAGGAGGAGTTAGGGAGCATTAGACCTGAGTATGATGAAGTACACAGAACTCCTTTAAAAAGAGATTTAACGGGTCCCGGGGTTCACCACACCTGCCCGTCCGCCCGCCCGCCACGCCCCCAGATTTGACGTGCCCCCCTGAAGGCGCCATGAGCTTTTTCCGACTCCTGATGAAAAAGAAGGAACTTATTCCTCTGGCGCTGATTATGACCGTCGCAGCGAGCGGAGCCTCCTCTTTCGCTGTCTACTCCCTCCGAAAATCCGATGTGATCACTGATAGAAAAAATCCAGAACCTTGGGAGACTGTGGATCCTACTGTACCGCAAAAGCTAATAACAGTCAACCAACAATGGAAGCCCATTGAAGAGCTGCAGAAGGCCAGAAAGGCGACCAAATGACCAGCTATGGTTCCTATCTTCCAAAGACTGTTCTGTGAATCCAGGGGAAACACTTCCGCTGCACAAGCTAGGTTACAGAAACCAGTGTTCGGGAAGGCTTCTGCTACATTTTTAGGGTGTCACCTACATTTTAGACTTTGAATAAGCAGTTCAAGGTAGTGTAGCAAGAACCACCTGGTCCAAAATGAAATTCCTGTGTTTATTTTTCTTGTTGTAAATTTGAATTTTGCATATTGAAATAGTTTTTGATGCCTGAGTGTTTTCCTTGAAATGTGTAAAGATTTATAAATCAGATTGTCATATTAATAAAATACCATTTGTGCAACACTGCTTAAAAGATTAGATGCATGCAAAAAAAAACATGCTTAAGTGGAGCATACGTTTAAAAAAATCATTTTATTAGGGGCCCATACAACTCTTATCACAATCCATACATACATCCATTGTGTCAAGCACATTTGTACATTCATTGCCCTCATCATTCTCAAAACATTTGCTCTCCACCTAAGCCCCTGGCATCAGCTCCTCATTTTTCCCTCTCC